TCCCTCTGCCCTCCCCACCGCGCCAGGCTGCCAGCACCCTTAAAGAGCGTTACGGACAGACACACTGACAGACGGACTAAGCCCTGAGGACCAAACTACACGAAGAAGGTGATTGGACTTGAGGTGACATCAAGACAGTTGTGCAAATGAGTCCCAAGAGGAGGCTGCTGTGAGAAGACAATTAAATACATGATGTAATCAAGAAAGTCGTGCAAATTAGTCCCAAGAAAATGCTGCTGTGAGAAGACAATTAGATGCACAGTGCCATCAGGAAAGTTGCCATCAAGAAAGTCACCATTCATCTGTCATTCTTGATGGGCAATTTGCTAGTCATTTATATTAATCTTCCTTGCACTTCATGTAATAGTGTAGTGCCTACAGATGGCTAAGAGCACGTAGCACTATGTTATTTTCAGTGAAGGTACCTTATCTTGATATTTCCCCCTTGGTTCATCAAGATTTGGATTTTTTACCATTGTCATACACTTTAAGGCACCCAGATCTACAAGATGGACTTAAGTGCCTAAAGTGGGACTTAGCCACCTCAATTCTGCATAAGTCCACAAATAAAATCTTTAAAACCTTTGCCAAACTCCTTAGAAACCTGAAATCCCTGAGTGCAGCTCTGTGTATGCCCAGAACAACCACCATTTTGGCAGCTCTCAGTGGTTCAGCACATACCTAAGCCCTTTCAGGATCAACCTAGGCTTTTCTTTGCTTAAACCCTCTAAAGAGCTTGATCCCATAGGCATGCTTCAAGCCTGCCAACCACAACCTGACAGAATTAGTTTCTTTACAAAATTGCTGGTGGAGGGGAAGATAGTGATGTTAGGGCTGCAGCTTCTGAAGTCTTGTGACATAAGACACATAATCAAGTAACTTTCTTGGCTCTTGTAGCAAAGGAAAGCGTGAAAGCATGATGCTGATATAACTGATGTAGCAATGCTGGCCTTAAACTGAAGCCAGCAAGAAACAAGAAATCTGAGAAGGATGAATTCTGTCATACATCTAAAGGAGGTGTCAGCTATACCTGGAAGTATAGTGGGAGGGTGGTCATTCCTGTTTCAGCTTAACCCATGTAGCAGGAACAAGAGTGTTCAGAGAGCAAGTGGGTACAGAGGGAAGGAAGGAAGGTTATTCAGGTGTTACCCTAGATCTCTCTAATGTGCTTAGGAGGCCATGCCCTTAACCCTTCTCTTTTGGTGGGGTGTGGGACAGAGAGAAAGTTTACTTCTATAGACAAACAGG